AAAAGTGTTTGGCAGAAACAGGTATAGACGGGGCCCTAGAGTCCAGAAAACTTTGTCAGTCAACACTCAGGCAGCTATGTCTAGCCCTCGAGTGACAAGAGATGGATTCCTACAGCAGGAGACGTTAGTGGCTGCTCCGAGCGTAAGATAAAATCCTCCCCTAACAAATGCTTTTATGAGCTGAACGGAGGAAAAGGGTACGTTAAAAAAGCACTTTCTTTTCCTGGGAACTTCCAGTTTCCATCACTTACTCTGTATTTAAAGACATCCATGTGAGAATGAGTTTCAGCCTCACTACCCCTTGCCTGATCCTCCAGCAAAGTTGTAATCCCGTCTGTGACATCACAGTCAGTTGCCATGGGAATGTCACAGACTCAGCATTATGACTTCACTGCTGGATTATCTAGGAGAGGATGGAGTGTACAGAAGACGGCACTTGTTTAAACACAAATATCTCTAGTAATTAGCAAAACTGGCAAGGAAAATTATGGTAAAACACAAGATAGGAACATAAATCCCCTTTTATAAGTGCGAACTCTTTCAAAGTGTTCCCCAAAGAGAAAGTAGCTCTTTAATGGATCCTACAATCTTAAGTAAGCTGAAAAAGTCAGGGAATAAAGTCAAAATGAAAGCAATTTGTTTTATTGGGCATTTCATAGGGTAATTAAGAGGACCATTATAAACTGGAACATTAAAAGGCATTCGAATGCTCAGTTCTGGTTTTCAGCTTAATGAACCCGCTTCTGAGTTGTGCCCGATTTGCATATATAAGCACAGGGTTTACAAGGGCAAGACAGATGTGCACGTAATGTTTGCAGACGGGAAGAATCACATACAATAACAAGTGTGCAAACACACTCACTCCCGACAGGCTGATCTGTCCTGTTTGAAGGGATATAGCTAGCAAAAATGATGTTTCACGTTCTGTCTCATAAACGTAACAAATGGGAAGTGAGAACTGTCACTAGGGAAGTGAAACCTGCCATGGGGACATTTCACTGCATGAAGGGCATCATGCTACCTGTTGTCACTGACAGTTCATCGTGTACATTTATTTGAGAGACGTTTTGTGGGTGGCTTAGAGATATTTAAAACCAGCTCTCTGGGTGTTTAAGATTATGCAGGGAAGCAGTGCTGTCAGGAGCACATATCACGGATAAAACATCTGTCCATGGAACAGCACTGTGCTGATGACATAGACCCACAGCCTCCCTACGTGGTTCCCTATGGAGAGCGAAGGAAGAGGAGTAGATGTAAGCCCCAAGACATGGACACAGCTATCTGTTAGGAGGGAGCAATGCAATTATTCCTCTCTCTCTCTGCTGGGATTCTGCCATCTCCATCATTCACAAAGCACTCGCAGTCACACACAAGAAGTAACTTCTACAGAGCCAGGGGCCCAACACCACATGAAAAAAACCCTTATTTTAAACCTAATCTTGTAGAACAAGCAAAAAGCATACAGCAGACTTCTACCTGGGGTATATCCTTAACCCTTGAACTTCCATTGGCTCTTTTAGACAAGTTTTATCTTGGTTTCCCTTTTGATTGCCTTCTGCTCACTTTACGCTCAACGCCAACTTCATATGAACTATGGGTTTAAGGACTGGATTTCAAACCCAAGGCCCAAACTCAAAGTTTCAGACCCATGTGGCTTCAGTCAAACATACATTGGTTAGTCTTAAACACAAGGACAGCTTCCTTTGAGGACTCCCCTAAATGCCGTGCATCCCTCAGAGAGAGCACTCTGTGCACTGCACCTCTGACTGCTGCTGCCACCTCCCCTCTGCAAACTGCCCTGTTCCCTCATGTGCTCCCTTCTCTGCTCTTCTTGACCTGGGCTAGCTCAGCCGCCTCACTGGGACACAGATGGGGGTGAGGTCACAGCCAGTGTCTCCTTCTCCTGCAAACACTCAGCAAACAGCACTCACCAAACACACAGTCCAAGAACACGGTCCAAACAACAACCAGGCAAGCACTCTCTCTGCGCACACAGTCACCACCACCATGCAAGCATGCAGACCAAACCCACCAAGCTCACTCACCTACCAAGAGCCAGGAATTACAGCCAGGAACCAGGTTCTGCTCCTTTCCTCTTGCATTCCTCTTCCCCCTCAACCTGTGAGGTCCCTTGCAAACTCCCCTACTTGTGTCCCCTGTTTGCTGGGATCAGAAGATCTCGCTCAGGGGTAGGGAGTGCTATGACCAACCCTCACCTGCCAGTTTTGCCCATCTCCTCAAAAGCCCAAATCATTACACACCCAGGAATGTGTCCCACTCCTTGCCAAGGTGCATTCAGCATCCACAGCTGGATGACTGGATGTCAAACCCCCAAGAGTTTTCCCAAACTAAATTAGTGATTTGGGTCAGAACCTTGTGCGGCCCCTTGCATGTCCAGTGTTCCCTCTAAGCTGTGTGGTGTGTGCAGCTGCTCAGGCGCGCTTCATGCCATGCTGCCAGGTGCGCCTCTGCGGCCACACATACCACATAGCTTAGAGGGAACACTGTGCATGCCCCCCGCCGTGTTCACCCATGCTTAAAAACAGACATCCTCATCAGCAGCTAAAACCCCATGTTTGGATGCTCAGGTCAGTGCTCCAAGAAGCATATGTTGCATATCTGGCCAAGTCTTGAGCATCCATATGTGGGATTTGGATGTCTTACAAAGGTGCCTGTATCTAAAAACTGGACCCAGGGATGGGATCCACTTGGAGCAGACTTCTCAATGTAGACTAGGCCAAAGTGAACTGCTTTAGAGAAAGGCCAAGAACCTGTCTGTGCATTGAGCAGGTCACAATGGCTGGGAGAACGAGCCATAGCTGAAAGTGATAACATTTTGTGATAATACAGGACTTCCCTACAATCTATGAGAAGCCCACTGCAAATGCATTCAGATGTGGAAACATAGAACAAAAGAAAAGAAAGAATAAAGTATTTCTTATTACCCATATACCACTCATTCAGGAAATAAAACAACCAAACATACAAGCAGCTCATAGTTTGTCCAAGAGAAGCCCCACGCTCTTGACACCCCCGTTGGCTGACCTGACCGCTTTCTGGGAACACTTGTGTGTTTGGGAAGCCCCCAGACTAGGCTAGGAAAGAGATGGGAAATGTCAAGAGGCCAAAGGCATGTTAAAAAACAAAATACTTTGTGGTTTTCAGCAGGCCCATGTGACACTAGGATGGGGCTTGAGAAAAAACAGTCTCTGCTTATGATGCTTGCTGAGCTGCCCACTGGTTTCACAATATCCTGCCTCTGGCTGATGACAGGGGTTAGAGGTGTCCTCCAAATGCCAGGGGAAGGGTGTTGTAGGAGTTAGTGGCCCAAGAAACCCAGAAGGAAACACTTGCAGTTTAGTATCTAAATCAGGGGTGGGCAATTATTTTGGGTGGAGGGCCGCTTACTGGAAGCTGGAAGTGTCTCCTATGGAAGAGGGGGCCAGGACTCCATATAGAGTGGCCCAGCCTGACCTCAGCATAGGCTTGGTTTTACAAGGAGGTTGTAGGGGGGAAAAAAAAGCAAAGTAGCATTGTGAGTAGATTTAGACAGTTTTCCAAAGTGCTTGGCATTGGCCTGCTAACGGGAGTCTTATGACAAACTTCAGTCTGGGTAGACGATACCCATGCAGAGCACTTTTGAAAGCTCCCCCATTAATCGCCATTGTCTGTTCAGAAAGGACAAGCAGGATAGGAAGAGCACCTCTGCAATCATCAGAGTAGTTCTTGTTCTGTTTGGAAACATGCCAAGACATTTTGCAAGGACCCATTGTATTCCCCACAGAGTAACCGCATTTGCTTATGTGTGGTCGGAGCCAGTTTTAGCAATCCTCCTCTGAAGCTCCTCCTGCTATGCATGCCTGTTCCCTTCCCCCGTCACTACAACAAACAGACTCAGTTCAATGGATATGGGGAAAAAAAAAAACATAGGGTAGTCCAATATGCAATGCTTCGTACCTGAAGCCACAGCCTTCCTTTTGCACCAAGCACTCGGGAGTAGATTGCTGTCTCTTGGTACGCTTCCGACATCCTGGGCTGCAGACAGATTTATGCACTGATCATGTTTGGAGCTGCTGACCAAAAGAGAAGAGAAAAGCTGGGTTTCAGTGTCAGCTTTGGGACTGGTTTTATTCTTGTTTGGATTTTTTTCATTTTCCCTTTTTAATTCTGCTTCCATGCCTGCATAAGATTTGGGTCAGATCTGGAAAGTTTGGCTCTTTCCCTCTGGAGATGCCGTATGGAATAAAAGCAAAGTCATCTGTTTCCAATAGGTGTCATCGGGGTTCCTGAATTCTGCAAAGCCCAGTTTGCTGTGTGTCAGCAGACTACACCTAAGTAAATTTCCGAATAAATGTCCTCACTATTTTTATCTAAAAATAAATAGACTCAGCTGCGATTGCTGCTCATGCTTTCCCAACTGAGGAATAGAAATAAAGTTTGCTGTTAAAAATATGTATCTGAGGTAGATCAGATTTCTCCTCCCACAGGAGTTTTTCTCCTCCTCCACGAAGCAAGATCGCAGGACGTGCATTGGGACACTGCCGTGGAAGCATCTGGGATGCCCAGACCCCCTATTCTTTGAACCCCATTTTGGAACGCAATCACTTTGTGTATGCACCTCTGGCCGCACTTTTGCCATCTCATTGCTAGAAGGGTGAAATAATGCCTTTTCCTCCTGGAGCAGCATGAACTCCTTTGCCAATAAAGAGGAAGGTGAAAGTCTGCAGCGCTGCATCTTTGCAGTGAATTGCCTATTGATGATTTTGTGGCTAATGTATACAACGAGAAACAGAGGAGCGAGTATAATGCAATTTTCCATGTTTAGTGCCTTATTACAGTGGCTGCCTCTGCTGATTAGTTCCTATTTTTCTTGCCGTCTCTTCCTGTGTAGCCCTTTTATTTTGCCCTGTTTATCTGCATACCGAGCCGTCTCTCTGTATGCCTGGTATAGCAGCAAGTCAGGCCAGAACTGTAATTTCTCTTCCCTTGTGAACTTAATCTTGCAGACCTGGTATTACTATTATTTTTGGCCATACATATCTGATTTAACAGGAACCAGGCATTATTTTTTCCTAAAAAAATAAAATAAAAAATAAAAAGGGAGGGGAGGGGGAAGGAGGAGACTCATCGGACTGAAAGATAATGATAGCTCATGCACTAATGGTTCTCATCATATCTTCTTCTAATGAATCCAGTGTTAAAACAGGGACCTTTTGTTTACCTGACTCTCCACATAATTGCACAACTCTGACCCTTCAGGCACGTAAGGCTCCCCGCCAGTAAACAATATTGTACTGATCTCCCTCGGGATTCATTTCACTGCCAAATAGCTCAGCAGGCTCCCTCATTGTCTTAAGTTATTACCCAACTAGCGAATAAACAGGCGGAATGGAGTCGGTCACTCTCCAGAAACGGGACTTTAAGTGATTCTGTATCAGGGTCCCCCTAACAAAGCAGGCGTGCATTCCCCCATCCATCGCGACTATTAATTTAACTGCTTCTCGCAAAGACAAGCAAGTACACGGAGCCTCCCAAAACAAGGAAATGCAACAGGAAATGCACCGACCCATTCTGCTAAGAACATAGCAAGGCATTTGCCACCTCTAACGCCCACAATTTCATAGACTCAGAGAGTCATAGAGAAGTGGGGCTGGAAGGGGCCTCCAGAGGTCATCTAGTCCAACCCCTGCCTGCGTCAAAACCATCCTATACAAGTCCATAATCTAAACTCGTCATAAAACTACTGTCAACCTTGACGCAACACAAGATACAACACTCCAGCCTGGCAGTGGCAGAGCAGAGGGACCATGGCAGCCAATGTCCTACTTCTATAAAAAGTTATTGATATATGCTCAAGAGCTGCCAGGTAGAGGGCCATGCCCCCTGCTACAGAGGAAGGCAAAACCCCCCAGTCCATGCCAGTCTGACCATGGGGTAAAACTCCTTCCTCTTTAATGGAAAAGTCCTTTCCATGTTAACACCCAGTTTCTGGCCTGTGAGCAGGGGATTTGCTCCACTACACACCAGCCACTCCATCACCAGGTGAAACATTAGGGATGCATGCTGAACAGCAGGGCCTTAATTGTGAGGAAATCCCTTCCCCTCTACACTCTCTTTTCCCTGGCTCTCAATATATAACCATTTGCCAAGCAAAGGAATATATCTCCCCTTCCTCTGCTCTCGGTTTCTGTGGCTTGCATTAGCATCATTTGTTTAACATATCCTGACGTGCTATTTACCTCACTCTGCAGCTCAGAGCTCTGCGCCCGCCTTACGCTCCCCGTCTAGGAATTTCATAAATAAATTGCTGGGCCCCATCCTGTTCTCCCCGACGCAACTGTAAATTGTGACCAACTGCACCGAAGTCTGAGGAGCTGCCTCAAGCGAACAGCATCATAGCTAGGAACAGAATCTGGCCCGCTCCTTTTAATAGGCACTGACATCAAGGAGACTTACAGAAAGCTAAAGACTATGCTCCCAAGGACACGGAGAGTCTGCTGCTCCAGGATTAGCAAAGGCAAGGTCGTGGCTTTGGTAAATGGGGTTTGGCAGGGTCTGCGGAACCGCTGGGATCACAAAATCTTTTGCCTCCGTCTGTGCGCAGGAGCCCTTTGACATGAAAGGCGTCTCAGCACAGGAGGGGGAGATGCTTTTAGGGGTGGTGACTGCCAATGGCCCTGTTTATACAGTGACCGGCATGATGAGGCCCCAATTCTAGTTGACTCCTAAGCACAACCACAGTCAGGATGGTTAATTACTAATGCGTTTTCTCTAGCTGCTAATAAATCAAGCACTAACTCCTTCCACTGAGCTGGGGTGTGGCAGCCCGGAAACAGCGCCTGGATCAGACAACCTAAAATCTTTGGGTCTGGTGGGATTCAGAACCTACCACTGCAGTTCATGTCCAGAGGCATATCCTTTATCAGAGAAGACCCCCTGTTCTACCTTCCTCTTACGCGTATGGCAGAAGGTAGACAAGGAAGGGACAGAATAAAAATGACCCTCTGTCCCGAGTCTTCTTGGAGTGAGGGGGCAGCTCTGTCCTTTACTCTGCACATCCTTACATGCGATGCAATGGCCCTTTTTAATGCCTTGTAGGGGTCAGTCTGCCATTGCACCAGCAGCTAGAAGCAACAGCCCAAAAATGCCCAGTGGTTTGGGGTGCTCCTGATCAGGGACCCCAAACACTAAAGCATCCCAAGCCACCAGCCATTCTTTAAAATGAAGAACATTAAAATATGTAGCATCAATCAATGAATGAGAGTCCGTGTCTGCAGAAGCCCATTTAAATTAGAAAAGGGAGCAAATATTCACTTTAGTGGTTGCTGTCAAGGTAAAAACAACACTAATTAGGAGCAGTACTCCGGTAACACTAGTGGCCACCATAGGCCCACAGCCGTCATGCTCACAGTGAGAAACCAGCCCTGCTTTGAGCACTCTAAACAGACAAGCAAGCGTTACCCCCATTTTTCAGGTGAGGCATAAAGGGATTAAGCCACTTGCCCAAGTTCAGACAGAGAACATGATCCAGGAGTTAAATCAAGACCTCCTGAGTCCACATCCAGAGCCTTAAGCCAGTCCATCCTCTCTCATAACAACACTCCTATTAATAATGCAAAAGACCCATATACACAGGGTAAAATTGAGTACTGGGAAGTCAAAGCACCACAGCAAAGCAAGAGGCTGACAAGCAGCATTGTGTTTGTTCACACATATTTTTTTCCCCAAACACCCAAAGATCTGACCTTCCATGTAAGTGCTAGCTCTCATCCTCTTTTGAGCCAGTGCTCTGCAAGAGAAAAGGGAATCACAGTGAACTGGTATTTCATTTGCGCTGCTTTCTGCACACCTGGAGCACGTTCAAGAGATTGGAACAATGTGAGCCAAAGGAATGATGTGCTACGGTTCAGCTGGATGTGCTTTGAAATGGTTAAAAACCCTTAAGCCTGAAAGTTAAGTGATAAGAACGCGCCGTAAAAAACATACGCAGTCAAATGGCAGAGTAACAAAAAGAATAATTAAAAACCAGGACCAGTGCCCACTGGCAGCTGCTTTTCGAATGTCAATACCACTTCATTCTTGCAGCATTTGGGTTTTCATTCAAACGGAGAAAATTCCTACTGAAAGTCAACATTAACACACGCGCACATACACAGACACGCACAGTCTCTTAAGCAGAGATCCAACCCACCTCGAATCCATATAAATAACTGCAGTGCCAACCTTTGAGTCAAACCTTATGGCTACTGACACCACGACAGTGATTGCTATCCTAAAAAACTTTTGTGTGTGTTTAGTGTTCAGGGCTGGCTCATTCCCATCCAGGCGGTTTACAATCAACCCTGAGAACTCAAAGTTTGAATGGAAATCGGAGAAGTGAGAGATGGAAAATACCCACTCTGCCATGCTGTCCTCTCACTAGCACAGGACTACAAGGACATGTATGTCTTCTAGAATGAGGTCCAACCTCAATGTAAAAGTCCCAAGCCCTGGGACTTCCTCCATTTCCTCTGGGACATCTGCCAGGCAAGAAAGCTCGCTGGCAGGAATTTCTACAGAGATTTGATGAATTCTGTCCCGTTCCACCCAGTTCTGCTCCCCTACAACTTGTGTTCTGGCATCTAAACCCTTCAAAATATTTCTCTGATTTTATCTTATCCTCCTTTGTAACCATCGCTTTGTTAAACAACAGCTATTTAGCCCTTGCAGTCTTCCTTCAATAATCAAGGTCTCTAGTATCGCAGCCTTTCCTCTCTCAATGACCGCTTGTTCCATTTGTGCGGTTCCCAGAACTAAACGCAACAACCAAGCTCATCCCTGGTGTAGCTCCACTGATTTCAACAGAGTGACAACAGAGGCAACTGGGCATCAAATGTGCATCGGTGGCGAAACTCCCACTGACCTCAGCTCCTTAGAGCTCAGAGAGAGAAGCTATGGCTCCATCACATGACACCTTTAGGGAATGAGGCTGCAAATTACACTGGCCTTTTTTCCTTCCAAGTCGTCCTGCAAGCTCCAGTCCAGCATGCTGCCTCCTTTGGAGAACTGATGCTGCCCACACATCACCTTGTTA